GACCTGAGCCTGCACCTCCAGTGCGAGAGTTTCGAGTCCAAGAAACACCAACTTCACGCCGCACTATCAACCCTCCATTTATTCCAGGCAAGGAGCCAGACAAATATCTTCTTGGTGGCAACGAAAACAAGGTTCGTTCGGTGTCGGAGTACAAGGTCATTCTCAAGGACGTCAAGCAAAGGAAGCATCCGATGCCGACTGAGGCCGTTTGCTGTGCCTCAACTTGATGGGGAGGGAGATCCCAAAAGAGGAACTGGCCCGCAAAAATGTGACCAGAAACTCCCGTGACAAAAACAACAAAAAGTGTAAAATAGGAACCCTTGATCGGGAGATCGTACATAGCATCTTCCAGCAGGCCAAAATGCAGTTTCCAGACTTTCCTGACTGGTACACTGACCATAAATGTAAAACTGTTGAGGCAATCAACGAGCGATGCAAACGGATTCGACAGGAGTTTATCGAAGTGAGAACGCAGTTGTGAAGATTTTTTTTACCCAAACGCCATTTATCAATTTGAAAAACGTCAGAATATTTCAAAAAGATTGTGAAATTGAAAACAATAAAACGGTGAGACTGCAGTTACTTCTAAACTGCACGTACTGCCTAATTCATCATGTTATATATTTAACAGCCTTAAATCTGTTGAAAAAGATTCTGGACAGCAAAGGCGAGGGGCTGAATTGAAATGATGAACAAAATGGCGTATGTCGCATTTTGGAAATGTCAACTATCACGTTTTGGAGACTAAATAATAAAAACAGTTCCCCGTCTAATCCATTTTTTAATTAAAATTTGTGTTTATTTTTGGTAAAAAAGATCGGTAGAGCATTCGACATTGGAACTGGAAATAAAGGTCAAATGTTTCTAAAATGATTTAGTGTTTGAGTTTGTTTTGTTGAGTTGTTTGTTTAAACATTTCTTTTAGGTGTAAATGAATCAGCAATACCAGCTCGCGAAGAAACTCTGGACATAATCTATTTCAATGGAGGCGATAATTAGGTCCCATGAAAAAAAGTTTGATTGAAAGCAGCTTCTTTATACGTGTACATATTCAATCAAACAAAAATCAATATCCATTAATTCAGGAGTGGCAAATTGAATTGCAATGTATTTTAAAAGCGACTGTGGCCGTGGGATGACTGAATATAGTATTGTTTGTGAACTTAAGTTTTCATGGTTGATTTTTTTTTTCTTCAAGATCTAGAAATGCGGCAAAGGTTCCCTGCAGAAGTCAATGAAAACAAAATAAGATATATTGTGTTCAAAAGTGGTGCGATGCTTGTAACTCATAAAAGGTGGCGATGGCTTTCATGCGCTGGCAAGAGTACTGGAATGTAATACGTTTGGAGATCAAATGCATTGATGACTAATGGTCCCATTGTGTGCCTAATCACATGGCAGGGACTTTGATCTCTGCTGGCAGGCAAAGGGTTCTATTGTATAGCGCTGAAGGATTGAAAACCACAAGCAGGTTTCTTCTGGGATAGATTACGCGTGCCAGTACTTTCAAACAATAGACCCCAGGATGGAGAAGTTCGAGATCAACAACCAGTCCAGCATCCCAGGCCAGTAGCCAGGGGGTTTTTGCAACAGGGCGAGCTTAGGGGGGGAGCCTTTTCAAACCGGGTCTAAGTGGTTGCCAGCCCTAAGTGACTTTGACAAACAAAGCACTTCTCACTATCTCCTTTTCATTTGAGATATCTCCTTTCCACCATTGCAGACAAACACTGTGATCGACATGAGAGACAGCAGCCTCTCCTGCACCATGGAGAAGTCTCTACTTCCAGAGGTTTCCAGTCAACTTCAGAATCTTCATCAGAGAAGTAAAACACAGTTTCACATTTTAAGGTATTATTTGTCTTCAGATCTTGACAAGTGGAGTCAGATTTTTATCAAAGCATGTTTTTATTGCATTTTGATTGCAATATTCAAGACGGCGATGACATTGAAGAGGACGGCAGTAGGGTGTCTCAAAACAGAAAACACCAAGTGGCATACTTTAGACAGTTTTGAAATGTCCTTGATACATGTGACCTGTTCTATGAAATTGAGTTGCAAGTCACAAAAACCACCTTTGAGATACAGGCCTTTTCAAGAGTCTTGGACTCTTGAAACCCTCAACATTTTCACTCATAACAATGTCCACTCACATCAAGATGCAAACGGGAGTGATACATGAAAATATGAAGCTTTGCTTGCTCTTTTCAATATACATGTAAAACAAACAAAATTTTAGAAAAGATGGCCTTGTGACTCATTTCTACAGGATGGGTCACTTATATCAAAATATTCTTGATGCCTAGCTGAAATTTTCAATTGTTTTACTCAAAGTTACAACACTCCGCTTTGACGATAAAATATTTGCTCAGGAAAAATAAATTTAAAAAGTAATTGTGACAATGTCCCTCTTTCCTAACAACAGATTTGAAGACATTGTAGATAGGTCAGCTCAGAATTCTGCTGTACTTTTGAATGATTTACATGAATGTTTTTGCGAACAAGCATTTCTCACTTGTAACTTTATTTTCTCCTTGGTGTCATCGCAGGGGAACAGTGTGATAAACAGCAACATCCCTCATCACCATGACAACAGCTTTGCCTCCAGAGACTTCAAGTCCAGTCATCCGATTTCATCAGAAATGTAAAAAACTCATTTTTAGGTTTTATGGTTTCCAAAATATCGTTGGTCATCATTAGACCATGCTTCAAATTATGTCAGCATATTTGAAAAGGAATTTTAAGGACAAAGTTTTTCGTTCAAATATTGTTTAAGATCCAGCATCATGATATAAAAGCAAACAGATTTTTTAAATTCTTCTATAAAAAGGACAGTTTCAGTCAGTGCTGCATTTTTGAAAGGTCGATGATGATGTGACCTAACATATTTTTATAGCTCCATTAAGCTTTCC